TAATGACACTACTGCTCAAGAATCTATATAATGTCGAGGTATATGGCGACGATGTAGTTGTGTACAGTCAAACAGAAACAGATCACATCAAGCATGTAGAAGCGGTCTTAAAGCGAATTGACGAATTTGGACTTCGGATTAATAAAGACAAGTCGCAGATAGCGAGAAGTAGCGTCACATTGTTGGGACATAAAGTGGGAAATGGAGAAATAAAACCATTGCCGGAGAAAATTCTTACCATAAAAAATATTGCAGTACCTAATTCGAAAAGGAAGCTGAGACAGTTCCTGGGAAGAGCGGCGTTCTACAGTCGATTTGTCAAGAATTTCAACGAAATAGCAGCACCCTTATATAAGTTATTGAGCAGCACCAAGCTTACGTGGACTGACACTGCCGAACAAACGTTCAACCGAATCAGAAACATGCTAGACGATCGCCAGATGACGCTCAGACTGCCTGAACCGGGAAGACTGTTTACAGTGGCCACAGGCGCGAGTGATCATGGTATAGGTGCTGTGTTGAGTCAGGCTGATAGAGTGGTGGAATACGCGAGTCGCGTCCTCACACCTGCTGAACAGAAGTATTCAACCATCGAAAAGGAGTGTTTAGCGATCGTGTGGGCAGTGGAAAAATGGAGACCATACCTTTTAGGTATACGATTTCACATTGAGACCGACCATAAACTTCTTCAGTGGTTGAAAACAGCAAGAGACCACCGAGGGAAGTTGGGGCGATGGATGATACGCCTGCAAGAATACGACTTCAGTATCCATCATGTTCCAGGAAAAGAAAACGTAATGGCGGATTACTTGTCAAGACCAGACATGAAAGCCGACCTGCCATTAACAGCATACGCAGTGAATAGTTTAGAGGGAGACCCATTAGAACTCGTCCGGCAGCAGAAAGCTGACCCTAACCTTCGAGAGGTAATCCGAGTGATAAAAGAGGGAGCAGACGTAGATAAACGAACAATGGACAAGGAGGTAATAACGCTGCTTCGGCAAAAGGAACGACTGAGAGTGAACTCATATGGAGTGCTGACCTGGCAGGACGATGATGAGAACTGGGTGGCGGTAATCCCGAAAGACTGGCGGCGTAAAGTGATACACGAGTGTCACAAGGTAGCACATACAGGCATCGCAAGAACGACGGACCTACTACGACAAAGTGCATACTGGCCGAGCATGAGAGACGATGTGGCTGAATACGTGTTAACCTGCCAGCAGTGTCAGCTAATGAAAAGCGATCGATACACACAACCGCCATTACAGTCAATCCCAGTAACCGCAGACGGTGGATGTGATGGGACCGTTTCCACAGACGGCGAGCGGTAACCAGTACCTGTTAGTGATGACGGAACATGCTACACGTTGGGTAGATGCCGTACCCATTGCAGACCAGCGGGCAAGGACAGTGACCGAGGTGGTAATCCGGCATATTTTAGCGTATCACGGAATACCGAAGATGATATTAACTGACCAGGGTCCCTGTTTTGAAAGTGACTAGTTTAAAGCCCGTTTCAAGCAGTTTGGCATCAAGAGAATACGAACTACACCGTATTATCCTCAGACAAACGGACTTACAGAGAGAAACAACCGGACGTTAAAGGAATGGTTAGCATCAAAAGGGGGAAATTGGGAGAAAGAGCTACCATTGATTTTGCTGGCACATCGTTCCTCCACACAAGGAACAACTAAGAAGTCACCTTTCATGCTCATATATGTCAGACAACCACGACTTCCAATGCATAATAAGACCTGGCCACAACAACAGAAGTGGACGACAACAAGATTAAGAAAAGAGGAGGGAGGCAATAAGGAACGTGGAGAAGAAACAAATGTCAGACACAAAGAAGGCGGAACAACAGAGGAGAACGTGGAAACCCTTTGCAGTGGGGGACCTAGTAAATTGTAGAGAACGAAAAAGTAACATAGCAGGGGGAGCAGGGTCGGGGAAGCTGGCCCCAAAGTGCGAAGGACCGTATGTTATCACGGAGAGACGCGGCTCGGTCTACACGATCCGGAGAGAAGACAAGCAGAAGCGCGTGATTGCTAGTCAGCTACAGAGATGGTTTCAAGATCATCATGAGTGTGAGTCATGAAAAGCACCGAAGGACACAGCGGTACGGAAATCAGAAAGACTACGACGGCAACTTGTTAAAAGGGGGGACGAGTGTGGTGCGTGCTACTTATATTGAGATAAGTAGTATATAACGTGAGTTGAAGGAACGTAATGTCTGGCAGCAGAAGATGGAGAAGATCAAGCAAGGAAGAACGAGAACACAATGGAATTTGTAAGAAATCGCATGACCAATGAAATGTGAGACAACGGATTGATGTTTGCAACAGCAACAGTCCGGTTTGATATGATAGGATGATATTTTGCAAATTGACGATTTACTATATGGTTTTTCTATTTTACCAAGTAATTCTGTAATTTGTGCTAAATACAATTTGGTTGTCCTCACCCGTGTTCTTCTGCACTACACTAGCCCTTCCTATCACACACACATCAACAGATGTAGGTGAAGAAAGCCAGTGTAGTAGCAGCATGCCTCAACAAACAACAGGAAAAGAAACAGTAAGCAACAAATAAATCACACTTGATGGAGCTTGGAAAGAGGTGGAGACTTTTGCGTATCTGGACAGTATCAGCAATAAACAAGTGGGATCTAATGCAGGTGTGAAGGTACGGATTGGGAGAGCAAGGGTAGCATTCATACAGTTGAAGAACATATGGAACTCAAAACAACTGTCAACCAATATCAAAGTCACAATCATCAATACGAACGTCAGGACAGTTCTACTGTACGGAGCTGACACTTCGAGAACTACCACAACCATCATCGAAAAGATACAAATGTTTATAAACAGTTGCCTACGCAAGATACTCAATGTCCGTTGGTCGGATACCATCATCAACAGCCTACTGTGGGAGAGAACAAACCAGCTTCCAGCTGAAGAGGGAATCGGGAATAGACGATGAAAGTGGGTAGGACATACATCGCGGAAACCATCAGACTGCACCTCATGGTAAGCTCTGACTTGGAATCCTCAAGGTAAAAGGAAAAGAGGTAGACCAAAGAACACATTGCCCCTGAAACCTCAGACACACCAAAAGAATGGACATCACTTGGGAAGTTCCAGGGAGAAGAGCCCAAGACAGTGTTGGTTGAGGATTCCTAGTTGGTGATCTATGTTCCACAAGGGGTGCTTTGATGTCCTGGTGTCCGTAAGTAGTTGATTTATTGATACATTCATTACCTGTTGAAAATGTTTTTTACGCGTTGGCGTCCAAGTTAATGAGTTCCGCATTTCCACAAAGTTGATCTGTTAAGCGTCTCATGAGAGACGCGACTCAATATGAACCGTCGATGAAAACTGACCAAGCCGTTAAACGTACGTATTCGCTTGACTGTGGTTGGTTCTGGGTGACCCGGAATGGCCGTTATTTTGCTTTTCAGATGGTGGATGCATTGAACATCAATAGTGTGTCCGAGAAGATCCAGAGAGTCGGTTCAAATCTAACACTTAATAGCTGCATTAATGCCGTGTTTTTGAAGTTGTATCGGAACAAGGTCCAGATTCTGGAGGTGAGACTCTCCATCCGGTAATGCGATCAAGCAGTCGTATATATATATATATATATATATATATACTCGACGTTGAGAACTCTAAAGACGTCGTTGATGAATCTGTGGGAAGTTTAAGCAGCACTTCAGGAACCGAAACGCGTATGCAAAATTCCGTAGAGTCCGAATGTAGTGATGGTAGCGGTGTTAGGAATGTTGTCAGCAGCCATGGGAAATGTGGTTATAAGCTCTATCAAGATCGATTTTGGAAAAAGTCATTTTTTGGGTAGCTGTCAAATCGTGAATGTGCTACAAGGAATAGCAATCAGGAGTGATTTCCGTATTCACTCGCCGACAATCATCAGTTGGACGCCAATCATTGCTGTCCCTTTCAGGAAACATGTGCAAGGGAGATACCCATGCGCTGTTCGTTGGCGGAATAATTTCTAACTTTTCGGGAGCTAGTTGGCACACTTTCAGAAATACAGGTGGCCACATGTTCGTGATATGCTGTGTAACATTGTTGGTTACGCGCAGTAATTTTTGTCATGTTTGGTGCAGTTCTAGGTACACATCAAGTATCCATTCATAGTATGGACCGCTTGTATGCTTACTAGTGATTGAGTATATTTTACAACGAGAAAATGAAGTTATACAAACAGATAACTTAGTATTTCAGTCTGTTGACCTCCTGTTGCTCGTGTCGATGAGAATAATCAATGGTAACTGTTGGAATCTATTTCTGGACCGTATAATTGTTAAGTAGCTAAACTATTCGTATTTGTGTTCCTCTTATCGTAATGTTTGTTTCGATCTATGGAATACTACTAAACGATTTATCATTTTATGAGTTATGCCCAGTATATCAAAGAAAGATCCTAAAATATAACACAGTGAGTAACAACGAAGCTATAGTTAATACAAATCAGTCAGTGAGTTAATACATGTAACAGTTTACAAAACCGATGGGTTATACTGCTTTGATTAACAATTGTAGCTAAATTGTTGAGTTATATATATTGTGCTCCTTCCTTATGCATTTTTAAGTTGATGCACAGTCAGAACATAACATCGTAATATCTTCTAACAATTGATAGACAGTAGTGACTCAAACTGAATACTTTGACTAGCGTGTCAATATCACAACTGACCGTGATATTAAATGACATGTACTCCAAGATCACGAGTATCTTTAGACCTATTAAAATTACACAATCTTTCTTGAGGAGCAGCAACTATCTCGAGATTTTGGTGAACCATGGCTTTTGCCGATTACCTTCAACCATCCAATATATGGGTGATGTAAAATGTTTTTCAATAAGTCAAAAGTGTGTTAATCTATATCTTTGTTTTTCAATTATTTGTTAGTCTATTTTCGTACTCTTCAGTTCGACATTTAAACTTTTCTTTTGATTAATTTTAACACAAGACTTGCAACGGATAGCAGTTGTAATCGATATATTATATCAGCCAAATGTATGCCAACATTTCTACTCGGTGAGCATCAATATACTATTATACGTATTACTGGTCAGTCGTTTATGCTGCATCAAATACGTAAAATGATTGGTTTAGCATTAGCTGTTCTACGTGGTTATACAACAGAAGCAGTATTTGATATTGTGTTCAGTAAAGAAAGAGTAAGAATAAAGTGTGTACTGTATAAATATCCGTGTTTATTTATAGTTGTTGATTATTTATATGCTTACATACGAATTCTTAATCTGTCTCCTAACCATTTAATTTATCTGCCGTTTGGAGCGATTACGAGTTCACTTAATTTGAGAACGGAACAAAGACTCTGACCAAAGACCAATAAGCTAGCGATTTTGACGCGTCCCAGCCCCGCGAGTTTAATTGTGTGTTTCTGTGGTATAAGAACTAACAACCTATTTACAGTTTCCAACTTTTGTCATTAGATTTGAAAAAATAGACTGTCGACACGTTTATGCTCTCTTTCATTTATATGTAGGTAGATATACCGAAAGCTCCAGGACTAGGTCTTATGCTTAACCGAGTGGACTTTAGTCAGTATAATACAAAATATCAAAATGACGGTATCCATCAACCAATTGATTGGAGTAAATATGAAGTGAGTTTTTCGAATCTTTCTACTACTTGCTTTATCAATTTGATACAAATAAACTTTCTTATTGAAGTCTGTCTGTGAACTATTTTCATTTCCAGTGAGGTTTTCGATAGTTGTTTTTTATATCACATTATAAATTGGGGTTTACTATATCGCAAATTAGTTAAAAGTCTGAATTTAGCCTTATGTACGAAGCTATTTCATTCTGGCGGTGAGGGTGTTATTTACGGAATCGGTAGGACGAAAAGCGAAACTCGGGTGCTTTAACCGGATTGGTGGACATGGAGGATCCACCTACGGGAGTTGCAAAACTCTGGTTACAAACCAATGTACACATGGGCTCCAGTATTTTAAAGGGACAAATGGCGTATTAGCCTGTTGTTGATCACCGGCAACAATAAGACTATCTCCATTACCTTGTGGATTAGACCTTACGGCCAAAAGCCCAGGGAGTGGCACTTAAGCAGTATCTTATCCCTCACAATAGTTCTTTGACTTTTACGTAAGTCTGTAATAAAAGTTTACTATACAATTGTTCTGTCGTTTTCCACAAAACACCTTAGTCAACCTTCATGCACAAACTCGATAACTCAACACTTCTTTGTCTTTCACGAGTTAAAATCTAAATGTTTATCTAAAGAAGAGCATTCGGATAGTATTAAATATGATGCAATAGTTATTTTTTTACTTGTTCATTGTATCCTTGTTTTCCAGTGTTAGATAACTGGAGGCAAAACGTCGGTTTTTCCTAGGTTTCTTGTTTGCTGAAACTCTTTCCTTGTCTTTTTTCTTTTTCCAAATTTATTTCACTGGATTATACTCCTTGAATAACATCTTCAAACCCTAGTGTCTCCGATTACTGCTTATATTCTTACTACCTCTACCACTACGGGATTTGAATCGACAACTACAGCTATATTCTAACGTGGTATGGCAACTTGAACTGATGTACGTACGTACGAAGTTCTACGTTCTTACTGACTTGCTGAAACTCGTCAACAAAGTATATCTTTATTCTTAAGAAAAATGGTGCTCTTTATGAGAATTCAATGTCAGTGATCACAAAAGTGACTACAGAGCTATTCCAGCGCCAACTAACCTATCATAGGACTGAATTTTTCACACACTAATCACAAAGCAGTAATATTAAATAGTGCTATATTTTTCTAATCGTTAGCGCTGATGCTAATCTAATGTGTAGCTAATGTTTTTTTTTTTTAGATTTTAAATAATATTCTCTGCCTATTTTTTTCCTTTCTATTAACAGGAGCAAAGAAACGAATTCAAGATGCAATATGTATATGAACATATTGATCGAATTGAGTCAGTGGAAAAGTCGTATCCTTTCACATTTATGAAGTATTCAATATTAGTTTGTTATCCGTACCACGGTCTTTCATGTACCCATTAAGTTAAGTTTCAGTGTATAATTATTTCCTTGCAACTGTGGTTTCTTAGAAAATGTGGTTATGTAACACTGATAGTTTTTCTGTCCTTCTTTGCAATCGCTTCCTAATGAAAAATCAAGTAAAAAGTGATCATGTCCACACTAGTAACTGTCTTTATATATTTCGTCAAGCAAGTCTGGAGTTAGAGAGAGAATCGATGCACCTACCATGTCAGACAGGTCGGTTGAAGAGCGATAAGACTGAAAGCAGCAAACCCAAGGTCCGAAAGCGAAGTCGTACTGCTGACTGTACAGAGGTGTGACAGCAGTATGGTGTTTCCTTCAGACAACCAGCATGACAGCGATGCTGCCTTCCCACAAGAAGGGGTGGGGTTGGAAAAGGTCGACCCTAAAATGCACACCTCGCCTTATCCCACGGACATCCGTCTCCGGCGGTAAGGTCCTAAAGAGTACGGAGCTAACACAAAAATTACCCATACAAAGGTCGTGTGTGACCGACCTCAAGCAGTTGTCCCTTGGGCACTGCGGTCACGCTGTCAGGTCACTAAGACCACCTTTAATCCAAATTCCTTTTCAGGTACCTCTAGAAGAACCCTTCCACGGTGTGGGCAACCGGGAAGTGAAAATCGCCCTCATACCTCTAACAGCACTCAAGACCACTGTATTCATAATCAACCTTCCTCTTCAATTCCTATTATTCCTCCTACATCGACTTTCAACTTTAAATTTCCTCTCTCGGCTTCCACCTCAAGTGTCACCATAGCCAACGATTCTAGTGCGCAAAATACTGTCCCTGTCTCATCCCATCAGGCTCTGAACACGATGAAGAGCGTAAACAAATCAGATCTAGGTTAAACAAAAGTCTAAGGAACGACCGTGAGCAGTGATGGGTAACGAAAGCAAAAGAGATGGAAAAGGCGGCGACTATAGGGAACACAAAACAGCTTTACAGACTTATAAAAGAAACTGGAATTAATAAGTCAAGTGTAAGTGAGATTATATCCGAAAAAGACGATACTCTCATCTGCTCCCAGTCCAGACGTTTAGAACAATGGGTGGAACATTTCAGAGAGCAGTTCAACTGGCCCTTAGCTACCCTACAACTACCCTCCATTCCCAGACAGTGTGAATGGAACATTGAAGTAGGTCCCCCAACTCTTGCTGAAGTTGAGAAAGCTATAGTTAGTCTGAAACGAGGAAGGGCAGCTGGTTCAGATGAATTGGCTCCAGAGGTCTTTAAGGATGGTGGTCCAATTTTAGCGATTAGGTTGACTAATATTTTAGCTAAGATCTGGGAGTTAAACGTTATCCCATCTAACTGGTCGCAATCACTTATCGTCCCAATATATAATAAAGGGTCAAATCATTTTGTGACAACCACAGAGGGATTAGTTTAACAAATATAGTTTCTAAAATACTAACCTCGATAATTATCAGACACCTGAACCAAGGATAGGGAGTGAAGTAGTCGAACGCGTCGACAACCTCACTTATCTTGGAAGTCTGATCAGCCCCAATGGGCTGGTATCGGACGAACTCTCAGCACGGATTCGAAAAGCTCTTTTCGCTTTTGCCACCTTACGTCACCTATGGCGTAGACGAAGTATCCGTCTATCAATAAAAGGACGAGTATACTGCGCGGAAGTCCGTTCTGTTTTACTTTACGGCAGCGAAACATGGCCTTTAAGAGTAGAAGACACTCGTAAACTACTAGTATTTGACCACAGATGCCTTAGAAATATTGCTGGCGTCTGCTGAGATACTTACTTACTTACTTACTTACGCCTGTTACTCCCAATGGAGCATAGGCCGCTGACCAGCATTCTCCAACCCACTCTGTCCTGGGCCTTCTTTTCTAGTTCCATCCAGTTCTTGTTCATTTTTCTCATGTCTATCTCCAATTCTCGGCGTAATGTGTTCTTTGGTCTTCCTCTTCTCCTTTGGCCTTGAGGATTCCATGTGAGGGCTTGTCTTGTGACGCAGTTGGGTGCTTTCCTCAATGTGTGTCCTATCCACTTGCAGCGCTTCTTCCTGATTTCTTCCTCCACTGGGATCTGGTTTGTTCTCTCCCACAGTGGGTTGTTGCTAATAGTGTCCGGCCAATGGATCTGAAGTATTTTGCGTAAACAACTGTTAATAAACACCTGTATTTTCTGGATGATGGCTTTTGTAGTTCTCCAGGTTTCTGCCCCATACAGTAGAACTGTCTTGACATTTGTATTGAAAATCCTGACCTTGATGTTGGTTGACAGTTGCTTTGAGTTCCAGATGTTCCTCAGTTGTAAATATGCTGCTCTTGCTTTGCCGATCCGCGCCTTCACATCTGCATCAGATCCACCCTGTTCATCAATGATGCTGCCCAAATATGTAAAGGTTTTAACATCTTCCAAATCTTCTCCGTCAATTGTGATTGGATTGGTGCATTCTGTGTTGTATCGGAGAATCCTGCTTTTCCCTTTGTGTATGTTGAGACCTACTGCTGCCGAGGCTGCTGCCACACTGTTTGTCTTCTCCTGCATCTGTTGTTGCGTCTGGGATAGAAGGGCCAGATCGTCTGCGAAGTCTAGATCATCCAACTGCATCTTAGATGTCCATTGTATCCCGCGCTTCCCTTCAGACGTTGACGTCTTCATGATCCAGTCGATCACCAGGAGAAAGAGAAAGGGTGAGAGTAAGCAACCTTGCCTAACACCGGTCTTCACTTCGAATGACTTTGTCAACTGTCCTCTATGCACAATTTTGCAGTGTAATCCATCATATGAGTTCTGTATGATATTGACTATTTTCTGAGGCACGCCGTAGTGTCGAAGAAGTTTCCATAGTGTTGTTCTGTCCACGCTATCAAATGCCTTTTCGTGGTCAATGAAGTTCATGTAGAGTGATGAATTCCATTCAATTGATTGTTCCACAATTATCCGTAGAGTTGCGATTTGGTCTGTACACGATCTATCCTTACGGAATCCTGCCTGTTGGTCTCGAAGTTGGGCGTCTACGCAGTCCTTCATCCTGTTTAACAATACCCTGTTGAAGACTTTTCCCGGTATTGAGAGAAGAGTGATGCCCCTGTAGTTATCACAGTTGCTGAGATCGCCTTTCTTCGGTATTTTTATCAGAACTCCTTCTTTCTAGTCTTTTGGTACTTGTTCTTCATCCCAAATCTTATTGAAGAGAATGTGGAGTATCCTTGCAGTTGCCGCTACGTCTGCTTTTAGTGCCTCTGCTGGAATGTTGTCTGCTCCTGCTGCTTTGCCACTCTTGATTTACCTGATGGCCATGCTGATTTCTTAAATTGTTGGTGGGCCAACATTGATTGGGAGGTCCGTGGGTGCTGCTTCGATGTTGGGTGGGTTCAGTGGAGCTGGTCGATTCAACAGTTCTTTGAAGTGTTCTACCCACCTGTTTTGTTGCTCTTCAATGTTGGTGATTACCTTGCCTGCGTTGCTTTTCACTGGTCGTTCTGGTTTGTGGCGATTTCCAGAGAGTTTCTTTGTCGTGTCATACAATTGTCTCATGTTTTCTTCTCTTGCAGCCTTTTCCGCCGTCGTTGCTAAATCTTCCACATATTTACGTTTCTCGGTTCTGATGCTCCTCTTCACTTGTTTGTTTATTTCCGTGTATTCAGCTTGTGCCTTGGCTTTTTGTGCTCTTGTTCGACAGGTATTGATCGCTGCCTTCTTGTTCCTCCTTTCTTGAATCTTATCCAGTGTACCAACAGTGATCCATTCCTTGTGATTGTGCTTCTTGTGACCCAGGACCTCATGACATGTTGAAGTGATTGCCTCTTTGATCCCCTTCCAGTTGCTCTCCACAGTAGTTCCTTCTCCATTGAGTAGATCATGAAAGGCCTGGAACTTGTTGCTGAGGACTATCTTGAATTTGTTGAGTTTGTTAGTATCCTGGAGAAAGGCCGTATTGAACTTTTGTGATACTGTCTGCCCCGTTGTCCAGTGCTTCTTGAGTTTCAATTTCATCTTGGCGACCAGTAAGTGATGATCTGATGCTATATCAGCTACTCTCTTGGTTCTCACGTCCTCTATAGTCCTCCTGAACGTTTTGTTGATGCAAATATGGTCGATTTGGTTTTGCGTGGTGTGATCCGGTGAAGTCCATGTGGTTTTGTGTATGCGTCTAAGTGGGAATATAGTGCCGCCTATGACCAGTTTATTGAAGGCACATAGGTTTGCAAATCTCTCAGCATTTTTGTTAGCTTCTCTCAGTCGATGTCTTCCCATGATAACTTCATATTCAGTGTTGTTCATTCCAACCTTGGCATTGAAATTTCCCATCAAAATGGTCGAATCTTTTGTTGAGAATTTCTCAACGATTAACCGCGGCCTATCGTAGAATTGGTCTTTGACGTCTTCATTGTAATCGTTGGAAGGCGCATAGCACTGGATAACGTTCATTGAGATACCCTCTTTCTTTGTTTTGAAGGAGGCTTTGATGATCCTTGGTCCATGAGATTCCCATCCTATAAGCGCATTTTGTGCTTGTTTGGACAGCATCAATGCAACTCCTTGTGTATGTGGTGCATTTTCTTCTTCATGGCCGGAGTATAACAGGAGCTCTCCTGTAGTTAGTCGTTGTTGTCCAACTTGTGTCCAATGTGTTTCACTGATCCCAAGTACCTCTAGGTTGTATCTTCTCATTTCTGCAGCAATCTGGAAGGCTCTTCTGGTGTCCCACATTGTACGAACATTCCATGTACCTAAATAAATGGTTGCTCTGGTTGTCAGAAGGGGCATCGGCCTCGTAACTTCCGAAGGAATTCGGCTTTCATCATGAGGCGTCATAATTCTTCTAAATGAAGACCTTCTGACTCCCGGGGCAGAGTTTAAAAGGTTTGAATAATTTTTCTGGTTAGCGTTTTTTTAGCGAGTTAGTTTTCTACGGGATGGGGACGCTAACCCCATGCCCAACCCACCTCCTTTATCCGGGCATGGGACCGGCAGTAGCCCCCGGAGGGACTCCAGGCGGAGTTTCTGCTGAGATAACCGAGTAAGTAATAGTGAGGTTAAACATAGGGTATTAGGGAATGATGGTAAATCAGTCGATGAGGTTGTGAATATTCATCAACTGAGATGGTTGGGCCACGTGTTACGTATGACTGAACACCGATTACCACGGCGCGTAATGCTAACTAGTGTTGGGGATGGTTGGAAGAAAGTAAGTGGTGGCCAAACCAAAACGTGGCATCAGTACTTGAAGTCACTAACTTCTAGTCTTAGCCATATTGGTAGATGCAGACTACTTGGTTGGGGTCCGTGTGACTTTCGTAACCAATGGCTGGAGACTCTTGGTGACATGGCTCAGAATCGATCACAATGGCGTAGGTGTATACACTCACTGTCCTCCCTTAAACTAAGAGATTAAAATCGCTTCATATCTTCCTTTCTACGAACTAGTTCTTTCTTCCTGTACTATATCCTTATTGCAATCTTCCTTTTATATATTACCACCTCTGAATTAACTACTCTTATGAATCCTGTGTTCATCTTGCTGTGTTAATGAGGTATAGCAACTTGGACCGATGCATATAAGTGCTTGGTCCTGCGTTGTAGCTGACTGACTGAAATACAATTTTGTCCAAAACTGGAGATGAGCGTAGAAAATAGAGTACAAAATAATACGTTTAAATTACAATAGCTTTGGAACAAAACGGGCTACAACAGTGAACCATACATCAGACGAAAGCTTATAATCTGTAGAATAGACTAGAAACAAAAATAAATGTTACTGTTTTACAAGCTTTGAATTAAATGAAGTAACGTCCCCAAAAATAGCTTCCGTAGTTTGTTAAGGCTTCTTGTTTCTCTGTTCATATCACATTCTAACCATAAATATGGTTCTCTTGTCGTTGCTCCCTCTCCAACCTACTTGTCTATGTTGATAATATATAAAGAATCAAATGCCCAAGCCAATATGACTTTATTTTAGTCACCACAATAGGCAACCTGGTCTTCCACTTATGATCTGGCAACATTATTTGTGATTGTACCATGTTTTTGCTTGTCGCGGAATTCCATGTGTTCGTTGTATTCCTTAAGATGTTAAAATATTTCCAACAACTGTCAATTTCTTTAACTTTTGTCAATTCTATTAATGTTCAGTATGTTCCAATGGCTTTCTACATTGGATAATCATACGTATAGCTTGAGAGATTCTTCATCTCCTCTGATTGTTGTTGATAATGTTTCGAAAACCGATAATACTCAGATAACCAATCAAGATTATGTTACCACTCGCACACATTTCAACACTAAAAATAATCTAAATAAGAATGATGTTCCAGAGTGTGATATACCTGTTAAAAAAGAAAGGTTGGTATTGTGAGAGGATATCTGTTTAATTCTTCCTTTTATGTCAAGTAGTGGTTTTATAATAAATTGTTTATATTAGTCATAATGTTGTATTCTTCTTTTGTTTTGCTTTATATTTGCCAAATGTATGCGAAGAAGAAATATAAATACTACCATTCTAAATAGAGTTCCATCTACAATCTATTTTCAAAGTGATTCTCTCCCAAATTTTAGTAACTTCTTTATCTTTGAAAGTGGTTAATAGGTAAGAAACAAAGACAGTAATCGTTATCGGTAATGTAGCATCATAGAAGCAAGTGAACTTGTCATTCATTTGTCTCACTGGTCGATTGTCCTCTTAATTTTAATCCATATGTTTCCCAATAAATAAAGTAACCTAGTTGTCTGATTTTTTTTACTGTAAACTAGTCCGTATGCCTTTCAAAGTATTCATAATTTGTGCTCTTGCTGTTTCTTCGAGATTTTCACTACTTATTATAATAGTCTTATGTACTTTGACCCTTTATCAGTGTGTTTAGTGGTTTTAAGTTTTTGTTTTTGTTTGCGATCTTATTTCGTTATTGTGTTCCCTATTCTCGATAAACCTGAGTAGATGAAGCCCTTTTGCTTAGTGCTGCCAAAATAAGGTCACAGTATATTTACAATTACATGTAGGATAAAAGATGCTTGTAGGGATGTGTATGGAGCCCCCATAGTTCGATTAACTTCCCTTATTTTATTTTGCATATAACTTACAACGTGAACACAAGATACTTTGTGACTCGGTATATCGAGTATCTTTGTACTTAAGCTCAGGCATCTTTGTGCATCCAAGACCAATATGGGTAAAACAATTAACTCGCAAATGGACGTTGGGTTTTTGCTACACAAACGCTCGTTATATCAGAAATATAACATCCTTGTCCAGCCTAATGTTAAAAGAATTAACTCGGTATATTTGCCACTAAAGTGTTGCTTATAGTAGATGTAGGCCGTGCTTAGATTATTGCAGGATACATTTGTACTAGAAATGATAGGGTAATAAATTTCAATGGAGGAGGCATGGCGTTATATGTTAAAAATTACTTTTGAGTACATTATTGACACACAGTAGTAGCACATATCAGGTAGCTATTTGTACAATCAAATCTAAACATGTGTTAGTGACTATAGAAGCAATATACCGTAGTTAACGTTGTCTTACTGACGACTTTGTCCGAAGTTATATTTGCACATGTCGTGAAGCCGATTGTTGTGGCACATCAGTTAGATAGGACTTACAACGTCAAGTGGATGTTTTGATGGTAGCCTGCTATCAATTTTATTTAATGAACACTTGTACATTGTATCCCAAAACGGACTTATTGACTTAAAACATGAACCATCGTTGTTGAACCTTTTCTTCATACTGCTGTGATGGTGTTATCAACATTCAGTACCTACTCTAACCAGCTAACATTGATCACGTACTATAATTTAGGTTACGGACACATTGTACAGTATGTATCTGTTCCACCTTATCCCAATATCTGACGAGCTAACATTCCTGCAATCAGAGACTGTGCTCTTTCAACAAATTGATCCGTCAGCGTGGATGGGGTAATGGAAAACGAATGAAATAAGTCTAAAGCCAGATTCTAGGTCATTACCGTTAAGTCCATGGTCAACACTTAGCCAATCACGTTGCACTTCATGGATCGTTATAGAATACCGAAATATGCTATGGTGTTTTGGAAGCAATTTTCGGGCTTTTTCTTGATAACGAGTGACGTATCACTCAAATGTGGTTACAAAAACTGAAATATATATAAAAGCAGTATAGTTGGACGTCGCACTAATTACGAAAGACAGTTGACACACGATAGCTGTACTTACGCAGAACGATCGTTTCGTACATTAAGCGAAGAATTAAACGTAGTAATGGAATTCCTCTGTAACGGTAATGAAATCAAAATAGTTTAGTAAGTCTTCGAGATTGGTGCTGACCTCATTTGTTTTACTGGACATACTCTCGCTTAAGGCACTCGGTCACGAATTTGCATCAGATCGCGGGTGTGTACGCCGTGCTAACCGTCCCTTGTGACGAATAGCCAGCTCAGACCAAACACTTTTCGATATATTGACAGCCTTCCAAATATATCTTCGATCCCCATCATTTCTGATTTGATTAGGTTGGTATGCTTTAACTATAATGGTGTTACATGTAAAGGCGTTGTCAAACTATGAGCAACTATTCCATCTTTAGTGTTGAGCCTGACGTGATCCGGTACACCAAACCATAAAATGTGAGTCTGTTACCTGGAACATTACATATTCCTTCTGCTTTTACGCATAGCGATATCGATCTTATATTTGCGGGTGTTTTTTCGCCAATTTGCGCATCTTGTCTCTATTATGTCGCAAAAGACACCTACGCGGTTTAAGATTAAGACTTACGCCTTTCAACTCATCCCTGGAGATCATCAAAAAACCCAGCACTAAGGTTTATTCTGTCAAAGAAAAGCACCAAACAAAATCCATTGTGTTCTCGTTCTTCCTTTCTTGATCTTCTCCATCTTCTGCTGCCAGACATTACGTTCCTTCAACTCACGTTATATACTACTTATATCAATATAAGTAACACGCACCACACTAGGTCATCTACGGAATCCAAATCGTCTAGTTGCATGCAAGCTGTCCACTATACTTTTTTGATCCTTTTTCAATTATCCTCCATAGTGGTTTCATCTTCTTTGAGTAGATCTTGTAGGGCTTGGAACGTGATGCTGAGAGCTATCTTGGATTTGTCAGTATTTCAAAGGAAGGATGTATTGAACGTTTTTAATGCTGTCTCTCTAGTTGTCCAATGTTTCTTTATCTTCAGTTTTATTTCGGCTACCACCATGTGGTGATCTGAAGCTATGTCAGCTCCTCTCCTGGTTTTTACGCCTTCCATTGACTTTCCGAACTTTTTACTGATGTAAATATGATCCGTCTAAATCTCTGTAGTGTGATCTAATGAGACCCATGTGGCTTTATGTATGTGTTTGTGTGGGAATATTGTGCCACCTATAACCATTTTGTTGAATGCACGTAGATTTGCGAATCTTCCACCATTCTCGTTTCTTTCTTCCAGTCAGTCCATGTCGTCCCAAGACATCTTCATGCCCGAATTCGGCATTTAAGCCCCCCATCAGAATGGTCAGGTCCCTTCCTGGGCACTTCACTAAGATCGATTGCAGCCTCTAAAAAAACTGATCTTTATCGTCGTCATTGCTATCATTGTTTTGTGCATAACATTGAATAACATTCATTGTGATTCCCCCTTTCTTTGTTTTGAGGGATGCTTTGATGATTTTGGGTCCACGAGGTTCCCATCCTATGAGTGCTTTACGTGCCTCTTTGGATGTCATCAGAACAACTCCCTGTGTGTGCGGAGCATTTTCTTCCTCGTGACCAGAGTACAGCAACATCTCTTCCGAATCTATTCGTTTCTATCCACCTTAGATCCAATGGGTTTATGATGTATGGGCGAGAGTGATCGTGATTGGTTGTCTGTTTAGTCAGATATGTAAATAGTCTGACAGGTGTCAGATGAGTTTTGTATTCCCGATCCTTATATGTATTTTTGATTGTTTATTGTTGTTGGATTGTGTTGGGTCTTCGGTGTGGAAATATATTTATGTTGTAGGCAGGCTAATCACGGGGATAGAAATGAAGGAAACGCGAAACCCGTTAATAGTTTAGTAAGTGTGTTAGTAAACAAATGAACAACAAAAAGATTAAAAATAAATGCTTATTACAATAAGATTTGATAGTAGTGTATGTGTTTGTGTAGTAGTAATTTGGAGTGATGCTACAATAGTCTCAATTAATTGCAAAGGATAATCAAATATCATTATATATGATCGTTTAAAGATCCCTATATTAAAAAGGCTAATATTCGAACGAAGAATATCCTTTTCTACAATTATGTATCCAAATTAATAATCCGAAAAATGGCCAGGTTAAGTCAAAGTTCGTCGTTTAACGTATGTGAATTTAGTATTTTGAACAAAATACAATAAAATTGTTAATGTTGATATGACTCAGATAGAATGTTAACTTGAATCTGCGTATATGTGGAATTTAAGATCCATGATCGGAAGAAATATGGGTCAGATAGGGTGAGAGTAATAATAGTGCAATTACAATTCGGTCAAATGTTTAGTGGAAAGCTATATTGTGTGAAAAATTAGTAAAACGTAATAAGGAGGGATAAATTCATAGTGAATGAATCATGTATAGGGGAGATTAATAATGATGCTTAAACAATAGTAATAATAATACAAAGATTTGTGAATAACGATAACAGATGCAATTATAACTGACTATGAAAGGTCGTAGTCGAATTATGTCACTGACCTGTTGTTGGTCAGGGTAAGAGGGGTGGTTGGAGATAGATCTTCTGTACTCATACCTCCGGTTTCTTCATCCAGTTGGCTACTGCTTCAGCCGTTTGAAGGGCTTTAAGTCTGACAAGCTTTGGCAAAAAATACTGACCTTATGAATAGTTGAAGAAGAGTGGTTTATACTGTCACTATTACCAGTTCGTACTAAATGGGCCAATATCGAGCTGTTCACTTTCTTCATCAACCTTGTGTTTAGGTGCGCTGGGAGGTGCTCACGAGCATGAAAATTCCTAGAACTTCGACCAATAGAACTCGCTCCACAGGAGCAGTCGAACTGATAAATACAAAATTAGGTAGTCATTCTAGGTAATTCATCTTATGGCCTCGGTGTCACCATTGGGCGTTAAAAGAATTTTGTATTGTCCTGCGTAATCTCTGAGTTTATATTTGACTAGCCATATCCCCTCTGAATTGTAGACGCATTAACTGGGACTTCTTCACTGTTTGCATTCCGCCTACTTTCGTGATCATATATTTAATTATAAATTTTCTAGGGTAATCATTCTCCCTGAGAGTATTACGCAAGGCGTTAGGCTCATCTTGAATTAAATGAGCAGAACATATAGTGCGTATACGGTAACTAAGGGTTTTGATTAAGTTTCGT